CTGAACCTCCCCATATTGTTAACTTAACCTTCAGCCAAAATCATCTCCAGTGTGGATTATTTACCTCGTGGGGACGGAGGGTCCACAGTGTGGCTGCCTGAACAGATTACTGTGACACACACACACACACAGCCATGACTCCAGTTTTGTGAACAGTTGACATATGAAACATGACCGGAAGTGACCATATTAAACCTCAGAAATAATTCAGCTTCTAATGTCGTTACTTTGTGTCGCTCCATCCGAGCACAGCTACGATTTAAAGACCACCCAGTCATCTTCACGCTAACCTGTTCATTATGATTCGCTCACCCACGCTCCGTGGACATTATATTTATATTTATGTAAAATTTCACACATGCACGGGAGACGGGAGCGCAGCTAGCCGCTGTGAGCGAGGCTGTGCGGGGAGAGCGCTGATGCCGTTTGACCCGTCCGCCCGCTCACCGTCACGGTGCTCACGGCTCCGTGGACCGCCCGCTGTGACTCTCGTGTAATCCTCCAGCGGACACACAAACATGCAAACACGTACCCGCGCGCACGCACATACACGGGCTACTTACGCCCTTGGCTTGGGGAAGCCCATGGACAGCAGCACGTCCAGGCTGGAGCTGCATTTCATCGAGCCCGCTCGGTTCTGCCGGAGCCTCCGAGGGAGGATTTTGCTGTAGAGGTCTTCCTTCGCAGCCATGTTCAACCGGCCTCAGCCCACTGCAGTCTGACTCAGTCCACTTCACCTCCGGCTAGTCCACGAGCTTCAGCTGGGTCCGCATGAGTGAAGAGATCACGGCAACTGCGCGGCAGAGAGCGCAGCGCTGTGCGGCCAGGCAGAGCCCGCTACTCCGCCCACTGGAGGAAGCGGCGCAGCGCAGCACCGACACTGGCGGCTGTAGCGTGAAGCACAGACACGACCCGCTGTGAAAGCTGCCTTTATTATGTGTAAAAATACACTTGGATTACACACAACGATCATATGTAGGACAGCAGTGCGTCATGTCTCCACTGCTGCGCATGAAAGCAGCAGCGGGCCGTTGGTGCTGGGCGGCACCGACACGCACCGACACAGTTTCCTATGAAATGATTGTTTTGTAAAGCACTGAAAACAATCAGACACATTTTAATATTAGATACTAACTGTTGGTTCTTTCAGTATCGCTTTATTTTGCCTCATTATTATTCACACTTTCAGTATTACAGTCGCTGCAGCTCTGTGAGGAACAAACGTGGATACATTAGGCCACTGAAAAGTATTTTTATTGCACTTCTGGCACATTTTGAATTCTATGAAACACAAAATTATTAAAATGCATAAATGCCATCTGAGCTTTGTTCTCCACTGTAGTGATTTCAGTCTTTGAAACGACACCGGAGTCTTTCGGACACGTGCGCTGTGCCACGGCCGTGAAT